ATTGCTTTTCTGTAAACCAGTTTCAAGATTGGGTAAGTTATACCAGTGATTATATACGAGTAACCCATTCGGAACGAAAATTGTAACAAGTTTATTATTAAGCTCGCATTTGTAAAGAATAAGCTCAACTACCGCACAAGTAAATAGATATGAGTAATGTGACTAATGTCGATCCCTATACGTATATATATCAGTTTATTAATTGAGCGTGCGATAGACCATAGACTCATGAATACGTATTGTTCCTGCTTAGTAGTGGCTTAAAGAGATCATACTTACTTTAAATTATGCCTTTATAAAAAGAAAGAATAATTTAGGTACATCTTTCTTGGAAAAGTCTGTATTCCTTTGCCTCTGCTAAACAATAATACCGAGCGCAATCTTCTCATCATCCCGGTTTCCCATTACACGGTTACACTTTTCTTTTCCGTTGGTCGGCGCTAGTATCGCGCATGAAAAGTAGAGTACTCTGCCAAGCGAAATATCAGGAGAACTAGTAAATAATCTCTTTGAGATTAAATTAACTCTTTGAGATTATTTACTCCCTGATATATATATATTATAAAAATATATATAATATATAGAGAGAGAGAGAGAGAGAGAGAGTAGAGAGAGAGAAGAGAGAGATGGAAGAGAGAGAGACGACGAGAGAGAGAGAGGGAGAGAGAGAGAGAGAGAGAGAGAAGAGAGAGAGAAGAAGAGAGAGGCGAGAGAGGCGAGAGAGAGAGAGAGAGGCGAGAGAAGAGAGAGACGAAGATGAGAGAGAGAGAGAGAGAGAGGCAGAGAGAGAAAAGGCGGCGATGAGAGAGAGAGAGAGAGAGATAAAAAGAGAGAGAGAGAGAGAGAGGGTCGCGAGTAGAGAGAAAGAGAGAGAGAGAGAGAAGAAGCGAGTATTTACTTCTTTTACTTCTCTTTATCTACTGTAATTAAGCATTTTATTTACTCGCCTGTATACACACAACACACATATATTAGTAATTATTATAGCTATATATATATATACTTATAGACCGTATATTATATAATATATATGT